ACCGACATGGGTTCAGACTGGAGGAATCCCTGATAAGATCTACATTGCCGAACTCGACTTGTTACGCATGACGACAAGTCAAAGCTTACTTCGAGTTCTTACTAAACTGGTCAATAGCTCTCCTTTCCTCTGCTCTTCATTCTCTTCTTTCTCCCTCACGGTTAGTCCCCGCGCCCGTCGCAGGGTCCGCTGCTCTTGTTAAGACCCACGTCGCCACTTGTTTCGATCATGCATCTTCTGCTTGTGGCTTAACATTCAAGTAAGGTCGCCTCTTAGATGACCGTCCTCTCCCCCATCTTTGTCTCTCCGGGGCTCCCTCGTGGTACGCTTGCTCCTATTTCGAGCTTCCAATGCTTCAACTTATTGGGTGGCTACTTAAGAAAGCCCGGCGGCCACCGGGGCCGCCGCCTACCTCAAGTAGCATGAGACCGTACGACATCGCGTCGGTGCTATCGTGGCTTCAGCTAGATAGGAGCGTACTGTGTGCCGCTCTGACGTCTCCGTCCTTCTGACACTCTGTCGAGTCTGTGTCCCGCCCCGCTCGCATCTCAGATCCTCATTTCAGCTGAGATGGAGCTGGCCTTTCATGGTTATTGCAGATAGGCAGCACTCGCTGGCCGTGAAGCCATTGTCGCCCCTTATCACAACGCCCACGTAACCATTGCCTTTCAGCAGTCTTCTCCGAGCAACGCGTGCCACAGCGCAATCAGTCGACTCACTCCATTTCATCCACGGCTGCGTTGATTCGGCATCCACGCTGTCATACGCTGCCGCATCAGCTGACTCACAGGTTGCATCACCAACGGATAGTGGAATCTCAGCACCTTTCGATGTTTCTCTGCCTGCGATACTACGATGACCTTCGGCGGCCCAACTCTTCGAGGAAGTTTACGGAATCTGGTCTTTTTAAACGATTACAGAAAACGGAGTCATTCGGCAAAGCGAAGCAAACACTCCTGCAAACACATAAAGCTAAGCACTTTGTCTGAGTAATCTCCCTGCCTGTCGATATAAGATCGTCGTCAGACATAAAGAGGTATGGTTTATCAGGGTCCCATAACCTGAGTTCTTTTTGCCAATGGACATCTCGAGTCAGGAGAGAAGACGGAAGGGCTGAGGGCTCAGACGGACCTTGGTGTACCACGTAATGTTTATCTCCTTCGTCAACGTCCCCGTGAGGGCGTGCGCTACAGCTGCTCTGCCCCATCGCTACATGTCCTTCCCACTACTGGCAAATGATGTGCTTCCGGAACGTTTACGTTCTCTGAGCCGCTCTTCAGAGTATACAGGGCTTGCAGGCGGATCGAATGCCTTCTCAAGGTCCAGGAAGGCTACTGGTAGGAGGGTCGCCCGCTTCTCTCAGTACTTCTCCATCAGCTGTCGTGGCGATAAGATGGCAATCGGTGTGCAGGCTCTCGGGCATGAAGCCGAACTGCTTCTGCGAGCTAGAAAAAAAGGACAAGTCCCCTCAGCCTAGTGTTGAGCAGGCCGCTCGTACAGTTCATGGCTATGGGCGAGTCAGCTGGATCCTCGTATTGCGAGCACCTCCGTCGCGTTCCCTTTCGTTGAAGATGGGAACGATTGTGGCTGGCTCGCTCCACGCATTTGGCATCCTTCCTTTCAGCTGTTAACGTTGTTTAGGAAGTGCGTGAGCCAATCACCCCATGCCTCTCCCAAGGGCTTCCCATGCCTCTATCGTACCCCTCCCGTCTTGGACCACTGTCTTTCCCAGCTTTCATTTCTTCCTAGCTCCCAGGCGAACCTTCATCATTCGTCCAGGGATGATGGACCTGCGATCGCCTCTATCTTGGGCCCTACTCCTTGCGAGGGAATATATCTTCTTTTCAAAAGTTCCTCGAAGACTTTACTTCCCACATATTCCTGACTTCGACTGCGTTTCTGAGAATGGCCCGTTGCGTGCTCTTCACTGCACCCCGCCTCTTTTACGACCGCCCTGATGTCCTGAGCTTGCGCGAAATGCCGAGTTTAGCCAAGGCGGAAGAACGACTTGTGCCCCTTCTCTGCTTCCGCTTGTCGTACAGGGCGTCCATTTCGTATTCTTGGCCCTTAGCAACGGCCGCCTTTAGCGAGTCGCTTGCAGCTCTTGTAGGCAGCGTAGGTCTTCTGAGCTCCGTGTCTTTATGCCAGCGTTTGTAGGCTTCCTTCTTCTGCTTGACGATGCTCTGGAACTTCCTCGTTCCAGAACAGGCTGCCTTGTCTCCTCTGATCCCACCTCGCGTCTCTCCCAGGACCTCCTTGCACACTGTAGGATGACCTCTGTGCGTAAGCGTCAGGTGTCCTGGACTGGCCCATGTGGGTCTTGGGAGGCCAGCCTCCAGCTACTCTACGGCCGAAGGCTATCCTTTTTACCCTGCCACATTTCCACCACCGAATTCTTCGTCTGCTTGACCCTGTCTTCTTGGGGAGGTCTATGGGATGTCTGCCAGGAGAGGCCTGTGCTGGGCCCCGCTTCTCCCAGGCAGTACCTTGATATCCTTGATGGTTTTGAGAGACGATCTTCTGACCAGGACATGGTCGATTTCCGTTTGTCTCCCTCCACTGCTGGTAGGTTACCTTTTGGTCTCCTTTTCGCAGAAGAAGGTGCTGCAGATTCGTAAGTCGTGGGCTGTTGCTAGGTCAAGGATTCGTGCTCCCTCAGCGTTCTTTGTCCTATTCCTTGTCCTCCGTGCACCTTTCTAGACCCTTTCTGTCCATCCAACATGAACATTCAGATCTCCAGCTATGGTGAGATAGTCCTCTTCCGGAACCGATTCTTATGGCCTCGTCCAGGGGTCAGGTAGAACTCATCCTTTTCGGTTTCAGAGGAACGCGGATTGTGGTGGCGTACACGGTCAATACTAGTCCAGTACCTCCTTCGTGTCCATTTACTCCATGATCCCGGTCACTGATCCTGTTCACAGTGGAGACGCAGTCCTTGAGGGATTCTGCCCACCGCTATGGAAACGCATTCATCCGTCTTGGTGTCTGCTCCATTGATAGGAGTTTGACGCCTCTCCCAATCTCGCGGGCTTCGCACCCTTCAATCGCGTTTCCTGGAGGCCATAGGATTGGAATATTCCTCGCGTCTCATGAGGTCGGCAACTCACGAGACTTCCCGGTAAGGCGACCCACGTTCAGGGTCCCAACTTCGAACTAGCTTCTTTGGCCGAGCGTCGTCTCACCCCTCGGTAGCCCTCGCATACTGACCACAGAAATCCGGAGCGAGGGTTCTGCGCGCCCACTTCCGGGTGACGTCTAGCTTTTACACTGATTCTATTGGCGACTTTCATGGTTGTTTGTGACGGGTTCCTCCATCAGCCGGCCTGTCAACCTGGGCCTGACCTGGTATCCGTCCACTCTTTTGCAATTTTTGCAAGGCAGGTTTGTGCCTCGGCAGGGATCGAACTCGTGGCCTCAGAGTGAGATTATGAGTCTCAACCCCTCTTACCATGAACACTCGGCTATCAGCTGCTCCAATGCTGCTCTTCCTCCTGAAACGAAGGAACCCATTCTACTCCCAAGGACCAGCAACATAGCAGCTCTTTTCATTCTCTACATTCATGAGAGAAGTCATCATTCTAGTACTTAACAAACACTGATACTGCTCCGTCAATCAGTTTGGATTCCGAAGGGAAGAATAACAGTGAAACATGTGATCAACAGTCGCTGCTTCTTCTGCAGAAAGATGAAAGCAAAACCAGCAAAACCGTTCAGGCTTCCAGCCTTCCCATCGCATCCACCTGCGCGAGTCAACAAACCCAATTACCCCTTCCAGAATTGTGGACTCGACATATTAGGACCCGTGCAATACAGGTGTGAAGAAGAAGTCAAAAAGTGTTGGATACTCCTACTGACATGCCTCAACTGCCGTGCCATCATAATCGACGTAATCTGCAGTCTCTCTTCAGACGCCTTCCTACACAGTCTTCGACGTTTCGTTGCGACAAACGGCTGTCCAAAAAGGATTATCTGCGATAATGCACCTGCCTTCACATCTTTCGCTCAAGCACAGTCCGACGAACCCAGGATACGACGCGATCAGAGGATCTGCTAAACTACTGTGCTGCCACGAACAAAATCCAGTTCAAATCCATCACTCCTTTCAGCCCATAGCAAGGCGGCGTTTACGAACAAATGGTTGGCATATTCAAAGCTGCATTCAAGCAAGCCATAAGAAACCGGACACTGCCCATGGACGAGTTGCTCACTCTCTCAAAAGAAGCTGAAGCCATTTGCAACACAAGACCTCTAACGTATGTCAACGAACAGACGGATTTTATACCTGTACGTCCAGTCGATTTCATACGCCCTACCGCTTATCTTTCGACTCCACGTTTTCTTGATGAAGACGATGACAGCTGGAATCCGAGCTTCACATCCAGAGACGGCTTGATAAGTGATTGGAAATTCGGATTACAACTTCTCGAAGCATTTTGGGAAAGATGGCAAACTGAGTACCTCACAAGTCTTCGCGAAAGATACCAAAGCTCCCACCCGCATCCAAGAAGCTACCAAAGCAGTCCTCCGGTCCAAGGCGAGTATGTCCTCATTCAAGACGACAAACTCAAAAGAGGTGTGTGGAAAATAGAGCAAATATGCGGATCTCGAGACGACTATGTGCGATCAGTGGATATTCGATTACCGTCTCGACAAATAGTAACAAGGCCAATAAACCTTGTTGGTCGCTTCGAGATAGATACACTGGACTTCTCTTCCAACGAACCTCCAGCCGACAGACTCCAAGTCAAAAGGAATCACCGTCCAGCTCATCTCATGATCACACGATCCAAAGCCAGGCGACGTCCACTTCAAAATCTTCTTCTCTCCATGATCACCTTATTACTTCCGTGCATGATTGCTGCGAACAACCGATGTCCAGATGAACTTACTATCGTCAAGAAAATTTTCTACGCAACACCATGTGTATCCAATGGATAGCAGTAGCAACGTACGCAAGGCAGAAGCAAACCTTTATGTTTTGTTTCCAGTGTCATGTCCGAATGGTGAAATCCGTACCTTCCCTTACCAACCGGACTCAAACATTTGCGGAACGCGTTGCGATTTTCCAAAATGGTCGCAATTTTGCTCACACTACAACAGCTCGCGGACACTGGAATCAAGAAAGTCAAACATACCACAAGGATTTCACAATTTCGTTCCGGCCGACGTCTGCTCTTTCAGCAAATCCGATAGATGCAGCGCAAAGAGGAAAATTGGAAACTTCAATCAAATAGAACATTATGACGGAGGCACACTTCTGGTACCACATCTCCAAGTCGCAGTCAAGGACTACCTTAACAATGAGGACTTCATTTGCATCAGTCCCAAAGGAGAACGCGTCTCGACGGAACCACCTTACCAGGGAACATCTGCCTTCTGTGAGAAGCATCAGTGCAGCGACAAGGCCAACAAGTTCTGCATATATGACGTCCCCATAACACTGTTCGATTTTAGCAGCTCAACGTCTTCAACTCTCCTGATTCCCATCAAAGCCTGGGGCACCACCACGACAGAATTCTACCCTCACAACTTACAGACTTACGCTGAGTCAATCCTTATACTGACAAACTGCTCCAAAGGAGGACTGGAAATTAAAGCTGATCAAGAGATTGACATCATAGAAGCATGCATTGCTTCGTACTGCATCTTCGCCTCCCATGTCTCGACTACATCGCTACTGTTCCCAACGGAACTGGTCGTCTTCAAATACACAATACAGGTCACGGCATGGCAGAACGGATTGAGCGTCCATCAGTCTTCGCTCACATGTCCAGCGCATCCTATATGCGAAATACTCCACTGCTCTTTCTGCTTGGAAAAACTTTACAACACTCAATGCTGGACGAATTTCGACATCCTACTCGCTACAACATCATTCGTCATAGCGATATCGTTATATTGGATTCTCAACCACTACGTACCATCATCAGACGATTGGTCAGACTCCCTCGGCTTATGGTCAGATGTTTGTCATCCATATGGCACAAAATCAAGAAAAGACATATCCGAAGAGAGGAATGCTTCTCCACTCCCTTCCGACCCTACAATCGTGCCAGTCGACGTTCACGCTCAATGAAGAAAGCGACACTTATTGTCACTATACTAGCCTTGGCACTGAAGGAGAAACTCGGCCACTGCTGCTCAGACATCGTCTCAATAACCAGTGCGACTGAATCCCTTTCCATCGTCAATTCCACCGAAACGTGCTTTTTCAACCAAGGCGTTACCGTGACTCTTCAGCCTCTTGGCCAAGATATATGTCTCGCCCTGAGAAATGACAAGAACGAGCCAAGTGGCCAAGTGTCATTACGGATGAAACACTTATCACATGTCTGCCACCAAAAGATCGAATTCTTCACACGCGACCACGAATTCCAATCAGAATCTTCTCATCGTTGTTACAGAGCAGGGAGCTGCAAGCCTGGGAAATGCGACAATACGAAATCAACAGACGTCATACCCGAGTTCAGCTGGAAAGCGTCGAATAATCCAGGTTTCACATTTTGTACAAGCAGCTGTCAATGTTGGAACTGTGACGGTTGCTTCTTTTGCAAGCCATCGTGTTTATTCTACCGATACTACGCGACACCCTCATCCGACACCATCTATACGGTATTCACCTGTCCAGTATGTGAGCTGACAGTTACAGCGGACGTCACACTACACCTGCAAAATCAAGAAACCGAGACACACAGCGTCGTACTTCGACCAGGAAGAACCGCAAGAGTGAAGAACATCTTCGCATGGATATGTCAATCCTATCAAAATAAAATCCGTGCGCATATAAGCGCGCGAGCTGACTGGATTTGATTAATGGTTCTTGAGTTGTAGACTCACAGCGAGATGGAGGAGAGCGTTTTGCGGTGGAGATATCGATAATTATGGGCGACCACGAGCTTTAATCCGAACGCTGTTGATCTTCATCTTTCGCACTGTCATTCGCTGACCAACTTCAAATGAGTGAAGTCCGGTAAGCTCTGTGAGTTTCTATTGTCAAGTAATATGTTGCGAACGTATCTGGTAGACGACTCTCTCAGTTAAGCATGTATCAATTTCTGTCGGAAAAAATGTGGATTGTCTCATTCTCTCTTGAGAACAGATAGGATGACGAGGTTGCGAAGAAGGCTGCGACGTTTTGCTCTTCGTTGCTCTTGGAGTTTGTCTTCCGGGTCCGGTAAGACACCCATGCCTACACTCTGAACCTTCAAATTCGATCAAGTTGCTTCCACTCGACACATTGTTTCTTGTGCGTCGCTTCATAGAAGAGTATTGTCTCGTGTTTCGAATCGTTGCTGACCGCATCGTAGCAGTCAGAGTGGCAACTTGTGCTTATCACACTCTCTGAGGGAACATTTCATGTACCGTTTGTTTTGTTGTGGTTGTAACGAGATCTTCTTTGCGTCAGCGCAACGCTCTGCAACTTCGTTCTATGCTATCACTGCTGAGTAAAGGTGGACTTGCCGGTCATCTCAGTGGATAGATTCTCGAATTCAAAGAATTTTGGGAACGTGCTTTCACTCGTACCATGAATGAAGTTAAAATCTCTATATCGACACGCAACGGAAGTGTCCTCACTGCTGAATCGTTCCTCGGGTAGGAAAAGCTTCCACAGGCATCTCAAGGGCGCCCCATAACTTCGGCGAACTACGCACATCGGCAAGTCCGATAGCTTCTCAGGAAACGCACTCGAGCGACCGGATTAACTACACCTCACGTGCTGTTCACGTTGAAACTAGCGTAATCTGTCCGACCGGGTGGTGACCTAAGCTTGAAAGGAGCTTGCCCAACTTGTAATTTAGACAGATGTACGCACATCTATCGCGCGTCAGTTCTCGGCCACGTTCAACGAAAAACGACAGCAAGGAATATGGACTGTGGCGCTATTCTACTAATAAGCTACCGGACGTCATGTTAGCGAAGGCCGTATCTTACGTAGCAGACTAACAAGAGCAATCTTACCCAACCGGCATATTGCATCGCTCTACCGATATCGGTCAGAAGGAACAAACACTTAACTGTGGAAATGCGAACTCCCGGAAAGCCGACGCTATGAAGAGTACATCTACACGTCAACTTCGAAGTCCAGCACAGGCAGCACGATCAAAAGACAACTACTACCGCTTTCGCAGCAAACACAGCGTGCTGCTTTTTTCAATGTAAGCTACCTCATAAAGGCGTATTAATTCGTCAAACGTACAAGACGAGCTGCAGAAAGGATCGAGATTGTGAGGCAAGAACCAGATTGCTGCTTCACTGCTTGTCCAGAGCCATCTGCAGCAAAGACTGCCAATCCAGAATTGGGCTCAATTATGCGCTTTAAACGACGCAAGTCACATTGTCGCTCTGCTTCTTTAGAAGCTTCCTCCAGCGTCATCCCTACGATCAGCCGCTTACGCATAAATTACGAAGAAACGATAAAAGAGATGCATCTCAATCGAGCCTCGAGGAAATCAGTCTCAATCTCCAACGACTCCTCTCATGCGCAAGACCACTTGCGGACCATTCCCTCTGAAAGAAAGTCAGCAATAGCGGAACCAGGTATTCAAAACCCTTCATCGTTTGCTCCACTACCTAAGTCAAGCTCGAAAATCTCGCTGAATGCTGTAACAGAATCGTGGCTTTTCAACCCAGCGATCGAATCAGGGAAGAACGTTCACTGGCTCTATCTCGATTACGCGCACTCAGTCCGTACATCACAACGGGATCTTGAATCAACGTCTCCACTGCAACCGCTAAACGGCACAACGATATAGCCATGTACACCTTCGGCTAAGAGCGAACCAATATCCATGGAAGCCACCAACCATGAATGTGATCGAAATTCCGCTGGCATACAACAACACTCATTCCCTTGATCGTACATAGCCGTATGCCGTGTCCACGAAAGAATTGAATATACACAACGATGTCGATAAAAAAAGGAGATGGACCGAAAGCTCCTCTGCAGGCTGCGACTCCAGACATCCTTATAGTATGATTAATATTTGGGAGCTTGTCTCTTCAGCGAATCAGTTCAGCATTCGTCTTTAACGAATGGAGCCTGCGTCTCGAAAACACGTGTTGCGGAACGATGTGTGGCTCACAACGAACTTCAGGACGAAGCAACCGCTGCGAGTCCGTCATCTTCAGGCTTACCAACATCTGACAGCTAATCTCTGTCGCATAGCGACTATGGTACCGCTCTAGTGAACAGTGTCTGGACCCAATGTAATCAATGGAATCATCGGACATCCAACGTCATCGAAGACGAGAAAGTGTCTAGAAACTTTAATAAGTCGCATAATTTCGACGAACAAGAAAAGCGCTAATTCTGTGGACCTCCTCGTTCAAACCTCATCCGCACAGTACCTCCTAATCGGACCTGGCCTACTCACGATTTCCAGCCGCGATCTGAATAGCTAAAAAATCCGGAAACATCTGAATAAGTACCGACAAATCTCAGCCGATCAAACTTCAGCGTGAATTATCGAAGAAGTAGGCCGAAAAATGGACAGAACGATCACTGCATTACGCCTCGCTCACCATGTGTCCATCCTCCCGAGACAAAGAGAACACACAAAGGTACGATTGTCCCTCGAGACCGGGTCACAAAAAAAGGAAGAATATCCAAGCATCAACGAGATATCTTTATAAAGGACCCACTCTCTACCAAAATCTCTCTGATTTCTCGTGCGTACAAGACATGCCCAAATAAAATCGCTCCGCCGACACGAGAAGCCTTTGATGTAGAACTTCATGAACGAACAGCCCGCGACTGACACACGTATTTTTCTGGATGACAGCGATCCGGAGAAGAAATTCGAAAATCAATTAGTTCGTCTACTCGATCCCCGCGTTCCCTGGCTTTATATGTTCCCGCATTTTAGCTGCAGGTACATTCAACTCATCAACCTCGCAAGCACTGGAAACATTTCTAGCGAACAGTTCTCCGGAACACATCACGTCATAATGTTTTTACGGTGGTCCAGAAAACGACGGTACAGCAGTTCTACAAAGATTGCAAGTCAGCTCTTCGAAAGACGGCTGGAATGAACATCAGAGATTTCGTCACAGCAACCAGGAGCTCAAGCAAATTCTCGAAGGACCATAGAAAAATCCAATCGATAAACACCTTAAAGATCCTGCGTGTAACTGAACGTAGCGACCGAGTCGAATTCCGAATCCACCCACCCGCTGTCTACACATTGTGAACACATAACAAAACGAAGATGTTGGCTCAGAATGTAGCGAGCATCTACGATCCCTTTTGGTCGGATCAGCCCAGTGGTGTTAGTCGTAAGATCTTTCATTCAAAAGTTAGGAAGAGAACGTTTCATGGGACAACGCATAGAAGAGCATCTCCTTGACGAATGGAAAGGCACAACGGATCGTGACGACAACCCAGGATACATGCCCCCGTCGTTACTTTCAAAGATCTCCTTCATCAGGAGTAGACTGGCAATCTTCACGCGAATGCAATCACAGTTTGCATAACTCTGCCTGCCCTACCTGTCGAAAGAATCGCTGGACCATCCCAGAGAAAATCAAACGCTGCATTTCAAAAATCTCGGTAGCTCCAAGAGAAACCTTCTAAATGACCTCATGACCGAAATTGAACTCTCCGCTGCTGCTCATTGCGTCGAACTTACTCCACTACCTCAAGATTACTACAAACTGACATTCTCATCGGCCAATATACTGTGGTCAGTTACAGTATCGTCGCCTCTCATGGCACAGTCAAAAAAGACCTTCCATCTCATACGCACACCGTGTACGAACCATTAAGGGCAAAAACAAAGGTGTGGTCTTCCGTCACGTCCCAGGCTTCAGAATCCCCGCAGATGTTTGCAGCCCGTCGATGCCACATTGAAGAACTCAAAACAAACGAATCTGTGTGAACGGTCCGTAAATTTTACTCGAAGAAGAAAACTGCTGGCCTAACAACCACAAACAACATCGAGATAACTCTCTGCTCCTTCCCACGTGATGACCAGAACCCACCAAAAACCCCCACTATACCAATAATTGGAATCAAAAAGATTCAGGCCACATGTCACGGATCGCTAGCGCAACTGCGTCATAGATCGACGTTCATCACGAATAGTTTCTGGCAAAAGGTGCCCCAATATTCGCACCACGAAACCGCGATTAAGTCTAGGACAAGAAATCATCTTGTTCGCATAGGAGCTCAATGAGAACCACCTTATGAAGATCACATTGCCCAACTCGACTTGTCAGATCGACACAGTCAAACTGACTTCGAGTATCTTACTAGAATCGTCATGCCGTCTTCCCCGAAACTAAGCGAACCTATCTACTCAAGACCAGCAACATAGCAGCTCTTTTCATTCTCTACATTCATGAGAGAAGTCACATTCTAGTACTTAACAAACACTGATACTGCTCCGTCAATCAGTTTGGATTCCGAGGGAAGAATAACAGTGAAACAGTGATCAACAGTCGCTGCTTCTTTGCAGAAAAGATGAAAGCAAAACCGCAAATCTCAGGCTTCCAGCCTTCCCATCGCATCCACCTGCGCGAGTCAACAAACCCAATTCTACCCTCCAGAATTGTGGACTCGACATATTAGGACCCGCGTGCAATACAGGTGTGAAGAAGAAGTCAAAAAGTGTTGGATACTCCTACTGACATGCCTCAACTGCCGTGCCCATCATATAATCGACAGTAATCTGCAGTCTCTCTTCAGACGCCTTCCTACACAGTCTTCGACGTTTCGTTGCGACAAACGGCTGTCCAAAAAGGATTATCTGCGATAATGCACCTGCCTTCACATCTTTCGCTCAAGCACAGTCCGACGAGCCCAGTGGATACGACGCGATCAGAGAATCTGCTAAACTACCTGTGGCCACGAACAAAATCCAGTTCAAATCCATCACTCCTTCAGCCATAGCAAGGCGGCGTTTACGAACAAATGGTTGCATATTCAAAGCTGCATTCAAGCAAGCCATAGAAACCGACACTGCCCATGGGACGAGTTGCTCAACTCTCTCAAGAAGCTGAAGCCATTTGCAACACAAACACTGAAGCTGCACATGTAAGGGAAAATATCGTCTTATCTGCAACGCAACACCTTGCCATTCGCAAGCAAGAACATCGTCATCGAAAAACACGGCGATACGATTGCAGCCCGTACGCAAGTTGGATCAGCCATTCACGTTCACGCAACGATGGAAAATGTCAAAATAACGACAATTCAGAATCACGGGGAATGCTCCATTACGACTTCTGTTCTCGAAGGATGTTACTCCTGCATTTTCGGAGCAAAGGCCACAATAGTATGCTACTCCAAACAGGACCGAACCACTGCTGACATAACATGCGAAGGACAACACCAGCTTGCTATATGCACTCCAAGAGGAAGACTATCAGTATTGAGTTTCCATTTTAACTCTCCGAAAATCGCTACGAATTGCACTGTCTCCTGCCCCAGAGGGCAATCACACTTTCAACGGCACTTTGGATTACGTGCGGAACTCAGAGCTTCAACGCGAGATTAGAATCAACGATGACATCAGTACGATTCCACCGGACAACGTACGGCAGAGCGTTACGGGATGGGTCTCATCAATTCCGCGAAACTTTACCTTCTTCAGTCTTATTAGAACCTGTGTAGCTATGTTACTCATTTCGCTTACTATTTCCATTGTGAACTTGCTCTCGATACATTTCCAGCCAAGAAGCAAATCTGGTCCCCGGGAGTTTATCTGATCGATAAAATTATCAAATTATTTCACATGTCATTTACCATAATTTCACATTAGTCATTTGTCGACTACCATTCAATTTCCTTCCACAGCTTAGTCATCTTCTATACATGCTTTGACTTTAGCCTACAGTTGTTTTGTCTTTAGCTTTAAATTGGATAAAAGCTCATCCCATAAAGCATTGCTCAAATCAATCCAACCACTGCATCACGAATACTTCTCAATCAAGAGAATATATTCGCTTTGTCTGCAGGAGACGTACTAATGGTCTCCAAATGCAAAGAAACCGTGATTGATGAAATTATTTTTGACCTTAAGATCAAAGGAACCTGTCACATTTTTACACCTGTCAGACTGGAAAACAGTTCTATTTATCCAACCAGGTACCCGTGATCTTGTTAAAACCAGCCCACTAGCGGACTGTGGACATTTACCATTTGGCATTTGCAATGATGGAAACAATCAGTACAAGTCACCTTCGGGTTACGCCCAAGTGACCTATATCCAACTAAATTTACCTAACAGTCTAGCACAAGAAAACTTTATCTTCAATTCTCCTCCAGTATTTCACTCGGACTTGGCAAGAATCTCGACTGGCCTGCCTGGCCTGCGGCAGATGAGTGGCTAGCGAAAGTAGGTCTAGCTCCGGTGTGGCTTCATCGCCGATCACAATCTTGAAGTCTTCTAGGAGTCCGCAGAAGATGCCGCCAGCTGAGATAGAGTTGAACAGGGCGGATGTGGTGATACACTAGACAGCAGGACATTGAATGCAGGACCTTACAGCTATGGCAGTTCGGGTTAGGTCGGGGAGATCCCTTTCTGCCAAGCGGTATTCATCGTGTTCAGCATCGGACAACTCGAGGGCCATATCGTTATTGAAAATGAATCGTTCGACGAGTGTTCGACAACGCTTGTATCGCAGACAGGTCGCGAGTCCACCTGGAGAGAGAGCGTCAGCGTAACCTTCGTGAAGATGCCTAAGGATGGTATGCAAATCAGTCGGTGTCTGCTGTGCACCTTCCTTCAGAGCTGAGCGCCTAGTCGTCATAGGTTTCACCAGAGTGAAACCTGTGAAGAGCAAGGCTGCGAACTGTGGCAGTTCGCCAGAATTTCTGGGGGGGGGGACCTCCACACATTCGACTCAGGGCAAGGTCTTGAGAAAGACATTATCATCCTCTTCACGACACGTACTGAATTCGACAGTGACCGTGGTGAGTTTTCGAACGATCCCCGCTGCTTGAACGTCGCTCTTTCAAGGTGCCGCCATGGCCAGATCGTGTTGAGACATGAGAAATCCTTTTTCGGATTTTTCGGCGTTTGTTTGTCGCTGCTAATCTGGTCCGCTGCTACTAGATTAACAGCGGACAGGGCGGAGAGGGAACGTATCGAAACCCTTCTTGGGGGGGGGGGGAGGCGTATTTAGCAGAATTTATCACAGCGCGATGGAGTGCCCTGAATAACACGGCTACAAAGCGTAACAAAGCAACTGCTGACATAGCTATTGTAGCAGTGACTACGGAAGTCAACGTAAGGAATGAGGACGGAGTGAATCGACTGCTACGTCTAAGCCTTCATTTCAATGGCCGATGAGGAACAACCTTGTCTCGAAATCACTCAGGTGAACTAAAGATTGTACATTTTGAAGGTGATAGCAATTTTATTTTTCCCGTTATTATTTTTGAGTTCCTCATATACAATGTGATTTGAACATAATTGTCGTGATGATATGTTATTTATTCTGCCGAAGTGTTACGATTTATGCTGAGCTACAGCTCATTTTGCCCCAGCCCCAGTGTTGTGGATTCACCACAATTCACAGCAGAACAAGCGTATACAGGGGGGGGGGCAAAAAAAGTCACTTCGACCGAGTCACATATCAGCAAAGTTTCCGCAGCCCAGAAGACGTGGATACGAGTACCAGGGCGGAAGACACCCAAGATGTTCCTCAATAAGCAGGAGCTGGCCCTCGCCCAGCACCTTCATACACACCAAAATATGAGGTCATCTCCAGTTGCAGCCTGACTAGAGAAGACCTTTGGAATTCATGTCCCAAACAGCTGCGAAACTTCTAGTGTGGAGTCACCCATGGGTAGCTACCTGGGGACCAGTACTCTCAGTCTGGAAGACCTCCAACATCGAGCAGCTCCGACAACGTAGCTACGGTCTAGGACATCATCTTCACGGCAGTCGCCAAGGCGCGGGTTGATGGTATGGACCGGACGCATCTGGAATGGAAAGACCAATATTTTCTTCGTGGACCCCGGGCTGAAGCTGAGCGCTGGCGGTTACATTGACCAACTCAAGAAGAATATCTTCCCCACATGTCGTCGCTCGTACCTTCTTGGAAACTTTGTATTGCTACAGCATTGGGTGCCACCACATGGAATCGAAGGGCGTTGGAGAACCTCTCGCTTACCTGGAATGGAAGGGGCTGAGCACCTAAAGAAGATGGAATATCCAAGTAGGTCAGCTGACGGCTGAACCCTCAATTACCCGGTTCGGGCGGAGCTCAATAGGGTGATCTACGGTGGCGGAGAACTATCTCGCTGATCTCAGGGACCACATCGCGGTTGCGTGCCAGAATCTCTCGATGGCGCTCCTCCAGAAGTCTGGCGGAGTGTCATAATAGTATTTGATATGCTCTTTAATATGGTGGTTAAAATGTCCGATCAGAATTCATAAAGTGTAACTTATAGCACCTCGAAAGTCGATGAAGCAAAGTGACTTTTTTTTGCCCCCTCCCCTGTAGAGAGCGATAACATTATTGTTTAGCATATATAGCTTGGGCAATTCCTAAGATAAGCACCTCTCAGGATAATATCGCAGGCAAAACCTCATGGTAACATGAGCTAGCAATCAAGTATGTACCTCAGATAACCCCGTTGGCACGGCGCGCTCTTTCGTCCCTTATTTTAAGTGTTACTACTGGTATAGTATCTGAGCACCGCTTAAATTCGCCTGTACACAAACTCTAACTTCATTGTATTATGATCGGTTATTTGGTTCCGGTAAGATTACGTCGTAATAAATATTCACACGTGCTATTACTTCATTAGTAAAACACCAAAGAAGAGTAACAGGCGTGGTCCTTCTGCCGGCAGGCCCCATCTTGCCTTCAACACATGCCATCGGTATTACTATATTTACTAGAGTAACGAGGCAGAGAAGGATCGGCTGAGTCATGAGTGTCGATGACTTCACGGAGGACCAGCGGGAGGTCGGAGTCCGTCCAGCAGATCTCCCCTCCTGCCCGGCTTAGGGCGCGAACCCCAGAATGGGCGTAGCGTGCGCCAAGCCGGGCGGGGCCCAACTTGAAAATAGATTGGACAATTCCACAGCATTCCAAACACCAAAAATGGGTCGAAGTAGGAAAGAGGTCAGCTCTGTTGAATGTGGGGCACACGTGGGTGGCGCCTGAGCCGAGATGGGCGGAGCAAAACGAAAAAGTCTGTAAAACGGTCTGTGGTACGGCTCTCAAAGACACAACGTACGCGATTTCTCCGCCCGCCCGAACATGCGCGGGGATGGGGTTAAAGGACCGTGGGTGGAGTCGATTCCTTAGCTGCTCCGTTTTAAATGCAACTAGCGGAACGCATGCTGAACGCCGGTGCAATATCCCGGTTCCGTTTATGCTGACCGCCGTCCGCGCGGCGCGTGTCGGGCGCCGCGCTTCTGGCATTGCCAAGCTTTGTAATTGCGCTTTCGAATACAACTGAAACGCAAACCCCTGAAGCGGATAACATTCGCTCATGCTGCAAATCTGAAACGAAGATGATGAAGATGGCGAAGGCGAGAATTGAAGAGCAACTTGTAGATGTGTAAAATGTGTAAAAAAATGTGTAAAATGTGTAAAAAATGTGTAAAATGTAGATAAAAATTCTAAATAAATTAATGAAGAACCCCGTGTAAATTTCTGCAAGTTGGTGCAATTCCGGCCCCGAATCATAAAAAGACTTTTAGTTGACGATTAAGACGCCGATGCCATTCTTATTTCCATGTTTAGTGGGATCGCGCGGTTTTCGAGGGAGTTTACAGAAGCAGCACAGTTGCTCTTGAGTTCTGGCTTTCGTCATAATCTTCAATTCAGAATTACCAGCTAGGGCAACACCTGAAATGTTATCCGCATCATAAAGTTGCGTTTTAATTGTATTTGAAAGCACGATTACGAGACTTTGCAGTGCCAGGAGCGCTGCGCGCTACACGCACCGCGCGGACGGCGGTCAGTATAAACGGGACCGGGATATTGCAGTGGCATTCAGCATGTCCGCCGCAAGCATTTTATGCGGAGCGTGGAGAGATTCTCCTTTCTCACGGTCCTGGATCCCCATCCCCGCGCATGCTGGGACGCGGAAACCGCTACGCTTGGCTGCTGGGGGCTCATTAGCCTTGGACAAGCCAAGGTTGCCGAGGGTATGTTGAGTTTTTAAGGAACTTGACCTGCGAGTTCTTACGCTTTGAGCAGCTATAACTACATACAAGGCCTTTGGTAGAACAGAAAACAGTGCCGGAATTTTAAGAATTTCTATTTCCTTAAAAGACTTTCATTTTGCTCCTAGGCCTGCTATTCGAAAGAAATCTCCCGTCGTGATGTTCCTGTTAACCCTTT